AAAAAAAAATCAGTTTCACAAATATCGTATCGATTCTACCAGTCCAACCGATTGGTGGTGACATATTCAATAGCAAATATTTTATTCAAGCAAACTAGACTGGTTATAAACCGGTTCTCGATCCATCCGACCGAACTGTGTCCAACCCGATGTAATTTTAAAACAATGGATAAATCATAATTAATGTTATTTATATAATTGAGGAAATCACATTTTTCTAATTGTTGTGCAACTTTCCAATAAGCTAAATTTAGCTTTAGTATATTCTCTGTATTTTTTACATTTATGTTGTATATGTTAAATCTAAATGCATATTAATCATCACATCGTATGAGTTTATGTCCAATGATGACTAAGATGATATATATGATGATATAAATAAAAAATAAATCAACTTTGAACAAAAAATAAGATAAATAGTCAATCCATAAATAAATAAAAAACAAACAAACCAATGTTGTGTCTGAAATATAACAATTATTATTGGGCAATGCTATATGTACACCCCTTTTAATAAATTACACAAAGAAAAGTGCTATATGTACACCCCTTTTTTACACACAAGGGGGTGTACATATAGACACCCCCTTATTATTTTCAACAAAAAATTGTAAAAATTATGAAGGAAAAATTTATGTTTATTTACAGTATTATTTTGTTTTATTTGATGGTCAATCTAATAATTGTTGTATGTAATTTTTGTTCTATTTGGAGAAAATTGTGAAATATGGAATATGAAATAAGAGGGGAGGCGGGAGAGAAATTAGAGGGAATCATATTATGTTTCTATCTATAAATTATTCAACTCACTATTAAGGAAGTTACATGATTCAAATCAAAAATATACTTTATTAGTATAGTTGGGAATATAAAAAATAACTATGGACATAGAATCGACATAGAATAGGAATAAAAAAGTTAAACTTGGAATAAAATATAAATTATATTATAGTTGGAAATAAGAAAAGTTGTCCACGTGTGAGGGCAATTTTTTCGACGACAACAAACAACATTGGCAGCCCAAGAGAGAAGCTCATCAAGAGAGCCCAGTTGAGTGAGGCCAAGTTTTCGCAGCCTTTGTGCAGTCCGTGTCCGACCTGCGTCGGCTCGTGCTTCTCACAACGAGTTACACAATTAAACTGATAATGTTGTATACAAAGAACTTTTTTAATAATATATAATTTTTTTGT